CGTTAAAATTTCGTCGGAACGAAGTTACGGAAAAAATCAATTAACAAACGGAGACGTAACAATATCTTCATACTATTCCTGGTTCTGGAGTAAAAAATACAGAATTCCTTTAATTCTTAAAAGATATCTTAGAATACTATTTATTCTGCATTTTTCTTGCCAAAAATGTAATATGACTTTTTTAAAAAAATCAGTACAAAATTATTTTGAACTTCATAACATACCTGAGAAAATTACAATAGCAGTGAGCAAAGCATACTCTGCATTGTCCACTTTCATCATGCACATACGGCGACAGAAGTTGAACAAAGCATCGGCCGAATCTCCGACACTAGCACTACGATAATTCTCTCTTGTGTAAGGCTGGTTATTAGCAAAGACAATGGAATCTGTCCTGCTGTCATATTTTCTTGCTGTCCTCAGCATCATAACTTCACTCGAGCAGGCCTAATTCATCAAAGGATTTTATTCAGTATTTCAATTTTTTATGAAGTATTTCTATGCACTGATTTAAGATAGATTTATTCTTTAAAATAAAACATACAAAATACAAGACCAAAGAAAATTAATAATTTTAAATGGTAATTCTCAAAAGTTAAGATATGATTTCTAGTGTCTCTGTAAATTCAGAAGATGTCTGACATAATTTCTAAGAATTTCTAATATTACTGGTCCAAACATGAAAAATGATAAAATGGCCCAAAATGACAAAATTATGCAATGTCTCTGATCACAATATTAGACTTGATTTTTACTTGAATATATTTCACAGAAAACTGCTAAAATCAATAACATTGCAAGGTTTCTTTGTGAAATAAACATAAATAAATTTTCTTAATATGTTTTTTTTCTTGATAAAATCTTTTTTTTATATGTCATTTTGAACTTCACATTTTTTTGGACAAAAAAATCAAAAGCTTTTGGCAAAAAAACAATAACTCGTCAAAAACTGTCAGTTTTAATAGCAATCTTTTCGAAGTCAAGAAACTTGTCTTTATTAAAACATTCGTGCTTTTTTTTCTTAATAATGAAGAAATCAGTTTTAAAAATTAGAAAAATAATGCAACTTTGGGTTATAAGATAATGAATTTTAGCATCATACAAGCAAGGTTATGGATGCTGAAGGATTTATTTGTTTCAGAGAACTTGTTAAGCAGTAAATTAAGACTTTTGTCAACTGTTGTTTATGACTAAAAAAAAAAGAATATACCAATTCACATTAAGTGATACTCAGACTGAAGTTTCTCACCAGCCCGACGTTAGTAACAACAGAGAAGATTATCCAAAAGACAAACATATCTTTACAGAAATTATGTTCGAAGTATATCATCTGGTCATAAACACAATTTTCAAACTAATTACGAGTTGCTAGAAAGAACGTTCCAAAAGTAATTCAAGACAACGTGCAAGAAATACCCAAAAAATCCTTTCATTCGTTAGTGTTGACAAATGAAATATACTCACCATGTAAGGAAAACTCTTTGCAACAAAGAGTGTTTTCTAAACCTTAATATTCTTGAACTAAAGTTTCAATGTAAAAGGAACCTTAAATTAAATAAATTCATGATTTTCTTATTTTTAACTAGCTATATATACTCCTGCAATGATGAACTGTAAAAAGCTAAAAGTTATCAATTAAAAGTACATTAACTTCCAGTGGCTCAGCAGTAAGCTTGAGGGCTTATATGATAAAAACCAGGTTTCAATACTTGTGATGGGCAAAGTGCTAATAGCCCATTCTGTAGATCTGTGCTTTATAATGTGAATAAAGAAAGTATGAATATTTTTTATTTTTTGATTAATAATACATCATAGCACATAATTTTGTATCATATGAAAATATAAATAATAAATTAGAAAACAAAAGTTTTTATTTTTTTTAGAAACAAGATTTCTTTTTTTCTCACTTTATTAATGAAAACTAGAAAAAATACCATACCTTTAAGAGGGTAATTTGGTCTTCCCTTAGCAAGGTGTCAAAACCAGGAACACGTTTAGAGAATTCAACAATCAACTGAACAGTAAGAATAGTGATTTCTGTGATGTGTTGGAATCTTCGTAAACTATCTTCCTCACTCTCACCCGTCGGGAACGTCTACATGAGTTAACTTATTTAATAAAGGACCTACGATTTTAGGAAAATCGTTTGTACACACATTTTAATAACACTATGTTGAAAGATGTCAATGATAAATGATTTTTATAATATACATTTTAATAACACTATGTTGAAAGATGTCAATGATAAATGATCTTTATAACATACATTTTAATAACACTATGTTGAAAGATGTCAATGATAAATGATTTTTATAACATA